ATGACCCCTTTGTAGGAAAAGTCGGTGCCTTCATTGCTTCTATTCCTGATGTTATGGTTGCTGCTCTCCTTTGCTTCATGTGGGCTATGCTCTGTGCTCTTGGCTTGTCCAATCTTCGTTACAGTGCTACTGGAAGCTCCAGGAACAGTATTATAGTTGGGCTGGCTTTATTCTTGTCCCTATCAGTTCCTTCATACTTCCAGCAGTACGGTGTACATCCTAGCGCAAACTCATCAGTGCCAACTTACTTTCAAGCATACATTGTTGCATCTCATGGACCTGTTCACACTGGATCTGGCGGGGTATGTACTCAAACTTCCAATCTTTTTTTTCATCAGAATCCTTTATCCCATTCTGCTTTTTATTTGTGCATAATATAGTTTAAAAGGTGGGTATTATTGCCTAAAATCCAGGCAAATAAAAAACTGTAACCTAGGAGCCTCTGATTTGTTTGCCTGCCACAGGCTTCCACCCTATTGTTTCCCGTGCAGTTGTGCCACTGCCATGTGGGCCCTGTCACCACCCCCAGTGTCTCTCTCTTCCCCATCCCCTTTCTGGTGCTAACTGCTAATTTCCCCTGCCACCAGCCAGCCTTTGTGGCCGGCTTGCCTTCAACTGCACAACTCGTCACTGGCTTACTAGGAAGGCAAACCGCCTAAGCTTGTTCCTGTGCTGAAATTGTCGACCAGCGCCCAGCTGGCATCGATAAGAATGAATATCATTTTTTTTAGCGGAAAATACAGCAGGGGAGGCCCCCACTGTAAACATTTTATTAAACAAAAAGAACACTAACAACTCTATACAAGAAGAAACAAAAAGGGAAGCATGCCCGAGGAGGGCAGCAGAGCTAAACTAGAGCAGCTGTACAAGAAAGGAAGCCAGAGCGCTTAACAGAACTGAATCTATGGGTCTGTAGTCTAACTTCTTCATAGAAGGAGCTTTTCCAAGAATCAAAGGATGGCCGGCCTCTATCAAATATAAAGTTGTTTCTCTGCTTCCAAATCTGCCAAGTGGCGTTGATGAAGGTATCTATAAAAAAAGGGGTTGTTATGTTGGACCTTGGCTTGCTGCATCATCTAGAAGAAATCCATTGTGAAGTCCCAATTTATACCAAGGTGTTGCCAGCAGGCTTGGCTAAAAGGGTAGCTAAAGAACAAATGGAATGCAGTTTCTTCAATGTTGTTGCTGCAGACAACACAATTGTAGTTGTTTCCCTGAAGCTTGTGCTTTTTCCTTCTCAGAATGTTCCTTGTGTTCAGTCTATCCATCAAGAGGAGCCACGAAAAGACTCTAAGTTTGTTACAGCATTTGGAGTTTCAAATCCAGAGAAAAGGGGATGGGGGCTGTATATTCTTGTAAGGAAAGTTGTAGCACTTTGATGAGTAGTAGTTCATGCTTCCCCAAATGTATTCCCAGGAGTCCTTTGAATTCTGATCGACCTGCAGATCTTGAATTAAGTCTTGGAGACTTTGGAATTCTTGGAAGGCCTGCTCTGATAAGTTCAAGTGAAATTGGGTCTCCAGAGTGTTGAATGAAGTATCATAGATAATACATAGATTGTTGGAGGGGTCTGACTACATAATGTTCAGCTATAAACAACCCAATTGAACGCTATAAATAGTAGTGTAGCTCGTAAAGAAAATTGAATTTTGGGGGCTTTATTGCTGCACAAATGGAATAGTTTTGGGATTTTCTATTGTTCAAATTAAAAACTGGACGATGAAAAGAAAAGATAGCATATGAAGACACAATTGAAGGAATTATACACTTGGCAGTTCAAGCTATGCGCTTCAACTGAAAATAGTCAAGTATGACAGTTGTAGTTGGTAAGAAATCTGATGCTTGATGTACTAGAGTACATATGTGGTTGTTTAAGCTTGAAGGATGGTGAATTTTATTACTGTCCATTTTCATGGATCTTCATGTTCCTTTGGTCAAGTGGTTTCAACGACATTCTTCAGTTTACTTTGCCTTTTCCTTTTAGTTTCAACTCCTGACAATGTTGTGCTAAAAAAAATATAACATCATCTTGATTTTTATGATTATTCCTTGAGATCTGAATGCCTAAATTATTGACTTGTACTTTCAATCCAACCTAATAGAGGGCCTAGGACACTATTATACCTTACTTTTTTTGTAAGAAAACAGTTACAATCCTACATAGAGCATGTAACGCCCTGTCATCATGTAATTTTGACAGCCTTGGTTATATCCAAGCATTTCACTGCAATTTCGTTATCTGCTTGCGTTTCAGGTGAACTACGTCCTCAACACGATACTTTCACTCAACATGGTCATTGCATTTCTGGTTGCTCTGATACTTGACAACACAGTCCCTGGTGGTCGTCAAGAGCGGGGGTTGTATGTATGGTCAGAAGCAGAGGCGGCGAAGAGAGAATCGGCTTTCATCAAAGACTATGAACTTCCTTTCAATATCGGACGCCCGTTCAGGTGGGTGAAGTGTGTTGGCCTATAACACAATTTTGGGTAGTTTGTAGCTATGGAGAAGTATGGACATCTCAAGCTTTCATGAATCATGATTGACCGTTTCTTTGACAAACTGGTGTATATCCTATATTACTCCTTAGGTTAGTTAGCATGTCCTGATCCTGATGTATCTAATTTTCCGATACTTTGAGACTGCTGTATATCATCGCTGATGGTCCTGTTATTTAGCTGGTTTTAGGGATATCAATTTGTTGTACAGGCCCAGTTTTTTTTTTTCTGAGCTACACCTGAACTCCTTCTGGTTTTGTGTTAACTTAGGTACACTGGAATTTATCCAGTTGGTTTGTAGTCAATAGTCATTCCAGAACCGCACTTTCGTTAAGTGCAGTCTACTGGGAATTCATATTGCCGTGCTGAATTTGCATCTCTAATAAGTGGATGTTTAAGGTCGGCTTCGTAAATTATCATTGTCACCTTTGAGTCTGTGACGTGTCAAGGGATGCAAGTTCCACGTGTTTTGGATTAGTTTTGCACATCTCCTATATCTCAAACGCCTGAGATCTGGGCAGACGCTCAGGCGATGCTCTCCGTGCCTCCTCCTTCCCTTCACTCCAGCGGCGGCGGTGTCCTCCCCGACGCGCCCGCTCGGGCGTCGCGCCCCGTGCCCTGCTCCCACGTGTTCTAGCGGCGGCGGCGGCTCCTCCTCGGTCACCTCCAGCAAGACGGTCCAGGAAGAAGATGAACAGGGGGCTGCATCAGCTCGGGTGTTGGATCTTGATCCAATCGCTGAGATGGTCGCCTGAATTTTTTTTCCCAAATTTCAGGCGCCTGGATTATAGCAATTCCCTTTTGCACATCTCCTGAAAAATTACCAATTTGACCCTTAGCCCCGGTGTTATATTTGGTTATTTACTAAAATCCCCTCCGAGTAGTTGCCCTGAAGGAACTCCGAATACACATTTATTTGGGTTCAATTTCCATCTCCATCTCTTCAAGTTTTCAAATGTTTGCTTTAAATCTTCAATCATGGTGTCTCACATCTCCTATATCTCAAACGCCTGAGATCTGGGCAGACGCTGTCATCGATTCAAGATTTGCAAAAATAAACTAAATGGCAATACCATATGATTTTTTTTGACAAAATACCATATAATTAATTTAAGGGGTGTAATGAACTAAGCTAGTTGGTTAAAAAAAACATTAGGCCTTGGCATGGCTTCATCTTGCTCCGTATAAAAAAAAACTGAGGGGGTAGGTATTTTTGCTGTTTCATTTACCTGGGCCTCTTCATCGATATCAACGTATAGGTTGGATTAGCCTTAGCCAGCACCCAGCAGCTTGTGCTGTGGGCCTGTGGCTTCAGGCCTGTGGGTCACGTACTCGCATCGCATGTCAATGATGGCGCCGCTGCCACAGAGCTTGAAGTGTATGTACTCCAGGACGTCCCGCTTTATCTGAGAGGTCAAAGCGTTGGCCTGGCCGTGGCCGACTGGCCGGAACCCACCGGAAGCAACAGGCTGTACCGAATTGGTGGACTACGCCGATGACAAGGCTGACACGAGCATTCGCGCGGGATGGCCGGGCACGCACGGTTGAATGGGTAATCCTCCAAGCACGATCCACCTAACCACCTTGACGCCAAAGCCAAACGCACGCGTCGCACGGCAGGGCGGACCGCTGTGGCTACAGTCCCCCAGCCTAAAATCCTGACTCTAGCGTGCGTCCTCTCGCGAATGCCAGCGGAGCGCAAGCAGTCAAACGGGCATGGAAGCTGGCGAGCGGCACGCTGGCCGGCACCCGCACGCGCCACGTACGGATCGGAATTGTGCGTGACAAGAGGATGATGACTTCGAGGAAGGGCGGTGGTCGCGATGATAACGGCTGGGGGTGGCTGGCCTTGGTGGCGGCAGGGCAGCACGCTTGCCGCTCCCAACATCATCATGTGTGTATGGGCTGGACAAAAAGGTTAGTGAGGCTGCTCCAGGACGCAAGCAGCGTACTCACATCATGAGCGACACTGGAGTGCAGCAAAACCGGAGACCAATTCGGCCGAAGGTGTCGACACTAGTCAGTGGGGGCAAATTTATCATTGCTGATCTGTCTGTAAACAAAAGCTATAGCTGCTGCTTAACTAGTGCTCAACATACTTCTATGCTATACATACTCCTTTACCAAACTACAGGTTGAACTTATCAGCCTGGCTTATCAGCTACGGTACAGTGTTTTTTCTCTCATGATAAATCAGCGAACAATACTTTTCAGTTTAGCTTTTCAGCGAAGCGAAGCGGGCCTAAGAAATCAACAGAAGACGTATGTCGTACTTAAAAACTTACAACATCCACTTATTAGAGATGGTGCAATCGATACCCCGCTGCATGAACAGATCTGCATCTGCAAGAGCCGTTCCTCTATTCAGATCCTGAAGTCCTGGAATTCCAGAAAGGAAAGGAGTACTTCCAGTCCCAACTGCAAAATCTGGTGTTGGCATGCTGATACACCTACCAGAAGCAAGCACCGAGAGAAGTGCAGAAGCCTGAAGATCAATTCCCTGCCTAATGCCTTGATGGGAACCCAGAACCATCACCGGAAATCGACGGAACTGATGTCGTGGCACCACAAGAAGCAGCAGTGTTGCTCAAAATGCTCGTGGCATGGCGAGCCCCTGCTCCCAGACTAAACCCTGAACCACAGGCAGTACCTGAGAACATCTTCTCATCCACTGGAAACGAGTCTATGGGCAACCGGAATAGACCGGGAGTGCCGACGGGGATCTTCATGTAATCCTCGATCTCCTTGCGGTAATCGTGGCCTGGCGCGGGGAGCGCCAGCATCTCCTCACGAGGAGGGCTCGAGCTGCTTGATTTCTCTACATGGGAAGTGGCAGCGTCGTCCAGCGTCGAATCCTCCCTGTCCCTTTCATGGTAATCCTCTGGTGCCGGGAGCACCAGCATCTCCTGAAGTGCTGGACTTGAACAGCTGAGCTTTTCACCATACGAGTCTTCGTCGTCATCGTTGGCCGGCAGGTCGTCGTACTCTCTGTGCTCATCTCCGGGCGCCGGGAGCGCCAGGGTCACCTGGCTGGGAGGAACTGGCTTGCTCAGCCTGGCGCTCAGGGATATCCTGGCGCGTTGAAGCGCCTGCAGGACACTCTCTACGTGTGCAATGCTGCATGACGGCGGTGGATACGACGACTGTGTGTCAAGCTGGCTGTCTGTGCAGTCATGGAACTGTGACGAGCTCCAGTCGGTGACCTTGCTGTTGAGGGTGTCACTCGATGGGCTCCCATCTGATGGTGCTCTGATGACGGCGTCGTGCTTAGGAGACCGAGCATTCGTACTGTAGCCTGAATCGCCGTCAGATATTTGGTTTCCGCGGTCTTGATCTTGCCTTGTGACTGTGCTGTCGTTGGAGCTTTCTGGTGCTGAAATGGAAGATGTTTGAGCACAACCATGATCGGGCTCTTCGTTTGCTTCACCTTCACGCCGCCGGGCACCGTTTTGGGGCGATTCTGAAAGGGAACCCTTCTGCAGACGTTCAGCAGTCGGGTTGTTGGTGTTGGCGAGGTTTTTCACATTTGATTTAGCCCCTGCATCTGTCTGATATGCCTTATTCTTTAGCTCCATGTCACCCTGAAATTTGTAAAACAGAAGCACGTGGGTAAAGTGATGTGCACGTTTTACAACGATACACATATACAGTGTACTGTAGTGGCAATGTCCCGTTCGTTTTGGCTGATAAGCCATGGCTGTTGGCTGATTTGTTGTGAGAGAAAAATATTATTCGTTGGCTGAAAAAGTACGGCTTATAGATAAGCCATGGCTGTTGGCTACTGTTCGTTGGCTGAAAAAGTACGGCTTATAAGCCAAACGAACAGTGCGGGATGTTAGCAAATTTTCAGTTGCTTAGGCTGTGTTTAGTTGGGTGAAATTTAGAAATTTGGCTACGGTAGCACTTTCGTTTTTATTTGGCAATTAGTGTTCAATCATGAACTAATTAGGCTCAAAACGTTCGTCTCGCGATTTTCAACCAAACTGTGCAATTAGTTTTTTTTCGTCTATATTTAATGCTTCATGCACGTATCGCAAGATTCGATGCGATGGCTACTCGCGATTTCCAACCAAACTGTGCAATTATTTTTTTTTCGTCTACATTTAATACTCTATGCACGTATCGCAATTAATTTTTTTTCGTCTACATTTAATACTGTAGCACTTTTTGGAAATTTGATTTTAGAACTAAACGTGGCCTTACCTTGTTTGCATTCCTGCTGTACTGCTTCTCCCACTCCCTCTGAGCTTTCTCCTCTTCCTCGTACTGCCCTATCAGCTCGGCCTGCCTCTCCAGCACCCTCTCCATCTCCCCATCCTCCTCGTACCTGATCACGTACTGGACACCACCACCTCCGGCCCCTGAACTCCGCTCATCGCCACCCACCTCGCCGTCGCACGCACGAGGAAGAAACCCGAACATGCTCAAATATCGCCGCTTCGAAAAGACTTCGATAGATATTTTCAAAAAAAAATTTAATATTTTCAAAAGACTTCGATAGGTTTATTCAAATGAAGGTCAGCTCGTCGAACATAGAACCGGGGGTGGGTTCATAAGGATTCGAGCAATGTACTAGCCTGGCTGCCTGGGCAATTGATGATAAAAAAGGCAATTAACAGACTCATAAAGAATGCAAAAGCGCTACTAATTTAACGCAAGGATTTGTGGCACGAGAAATCATCATAGTACATAACAGTTGGAAACATCCAAACGTCAGGAACCTTAGTCTTCCCCACTAGTTACCACAATACATTCATGCTAATCACAGCAGCCGATCCATGCTCACGAGACATCTCATGTGGTTAGGTTGCGATGATGAGTCGTAAGCCCAACAGCATGATGACAAGATTAGTCACCGCTGGCACAACCCCTGCAGCCGCAGTGGACACATTCTATCACCTGCTCCTCCCTCAGATGCTTGGGGACCCGGCAGACACAAGTCGTTGCAAAGTTGTGGTCACGTGTCTGTATGCACCGAAGGCAGCAAAGGCGCTCGTAACCTGGCTGCAAGAGGGCGAAATGTAGTAGTAAGAAATCAGGAAGACAGATTAAGCACAGATGAAAATATATTTCACAGCAGGCAATGCACAGGCACAAACTTGAGGAACATAACCGAATCAAAGCAAAACATTGAAACAGAACAAAGAAGCATCAAGGGACTACCCCCAACCTTTTTTTTAACATAGAATCTTCAGGTGACAAAATGGATCTGTTGTAATTTCTTGTAGCTACCAAGTTAATTAACAATAAAATATTTGCCTCAATCACATATAATTCGCTCCAAAAGCAATTAACATAAAACACACGAGAAAGGCCAGATCACTCATTAACAAGGTTGAGATGCAACCTAAAAATTTTGAAGTGACTTTTAATGATCTTCAAAAGGTGCAATTTTGACCACTATTTTTCTCTGAGTATCTATAATATCTAACAAATGTATGAGATAATACAGGTGCTTCTCATACAAATTTATACAAGATTTTGATGTTCCCAACTAATTTTTTAAAGCTGGTGGTGTTTCGAAAGTTTTACTGGATTCTCAACGCTGGACTCGCAGGAGACGCTGCACTGGGATCAAGTCTCTTCGTCTGTGACTCATTGCATGAGTGAAAACGTTGCTTCTAATGTTCTGGATGTCTGTGATGAGTGCGAATTTGGCTGTTAGGCCTTTATGTTTGTGGCGGGCGTGCCGTTACGCTTGAACCTAAATGTTTGAATGCTTTATGATCAATGAAACGGGGGAAACCTTTTTGTCTAGAAAAGTTTTACTGGATTTTTTTCAAAGCAAAGTATTTGGGACCAGAGGGATTATTTATCTTCAGTTGAACATTTCAGGATACCACTATCCAAATTAAGGGGAACCAAAAGAACATATTGGATGCCTGATAAATTCATTTTCAGTCAACTAAATATACCAGATCCAGCTACTGGTAACATTAGAAATCTCCTATTCAGAAAATAAACAAAAAACAGTGGACTGGACTGCAGCATGCATGACAGTAATGGTTCCAGGTTTCAGTTAGTGGCTCATTCTGGTGCACAGAAAAGCTATACTATGCATCAGTAGCTGCTGCAATCTACCATGTAAGCTATATAAATCTCACAAATTTAGAAAACCGAAGTGCAATAGTAAGATATCTATAATGCAATTTGCACGTACAATGTCTACAGAATACTTCCACTAAACAAATCTACCAACTTATAGCAGAATATATGGAAGATTAACATGCCTCCCTCCCTCCCACCCTCACCTCAAAAAGAATTGGATGTTGTGGAGAAAAAAAAATCAAACAAACTGAGCAGTAGACCATGTACAACAAATATGGAACCAAGGATACCTACCTTTTTCCACTTTGCAATCAGGTTACGGTCTGCATAACCCTGGTCCAGGCAAAACTCATAAAGCTCCTTTGATATCTCCTTCCTTCTGTAGTAAAGATCATATATGTAGCGGCTCCTTTGATGAGAAATACGGAAAATAGGCCAGAGAGCTTCACACTTTCTCTTCCCATCATGTGGATCATTTTCAGCTGCATGAGGACATAGCATTAGTAACAACCTTGTGCTAGCAAATAACAACTGACATCAGTAGTGAGTGCCTCAAATGAATAACCATCTGTGCATACCTTCTCTCATTTTCGCATCCAACTCACGGATTGTTGGTTCAATAAGCTCCCATCCTTCAGGATACTTGACACGGCTTGTTTTTATCTTAGGCATGCTTCCTCAATGAATGTCCTGGGAACATGTAAATGGAGTAAGAAAAAGGACGAACATAATACTTATGTAAACATAATATTCAATAAATCATAAAAGTCAAATGCTATTGCACTGATTAAAGTCAAATGCTATTGCATATGCTATTGCTACCCAATACCTCTCAAGTATATGAAACCGAGGGGCTTTACATAAGGAAACAGTACTATATGCTACATAAGACAAGGAAACGTCCATAATGACACCGCACAGCACTAGGGGGCGATGCACCGCCATGGCTTAATGCCAACTACACATGCTCAGCCCTAATTCACAAACAACAATCACAACCTGAAGGTCGAGGCTCCAAATCGTAAGACTCGCTAACGTCACAATCTAGGATAGTACCAAAACCCTAAGGGCGTACTCGATGCGGGGCTGGGGTTTCAACCACGAAAATTTATGGAATGGAAACCAAACAAATCGCGGATGTACTGCATCCATCCCAGCAAAAGAAAGATTTCGCAGAACAGAAACGCAATCTTATCTTAGAGACATGCATCGAATCGGGGTAGGGTTTCTTACGAACGGAAGGGGAACTCGGTCCAACTCCGGGCAGATCTCCAATCCACACCAGACCACAATATGAGAGGAGGTGGGTGAAGACGAAGAGGGAGAGGCAGGGCACGCGCCGAGCTCTTTTTTTTTTAATAAAAAAAAATCTCGCTAAGGTTTCGCTTTTGCGGAACGGAAGCGGAAGAAGGCGGGGTCTGACTGTCTGTGATCGGCCTAGATGACGGTCAGGGTCTCAGGGAGGCTTCGTTTGGCAGTGAGGGATCAGTACTCACGTGGTAGACAACTCACGTGTGGATTGGGTGATCCCCTGCCCTCCACCCGATCCCCACCCACACCTGGTGCTCTAATCCCTTGAATCCCGTTAGTCATTTTTGGATGCAAATCATTGCTCGTCAACACGCTTCCCCGCTACGGACACGCTTCACCGATGCCGTCGCCGCCGCGGTGTACCCAAACCCTAACAAGGGAAACCGGGTGAGGAGAAGGGGATGGAGGTGGGGATGAGGCCGAGGAGGAGACGGAGGCCACGTACCTGTATCAAGCGCGAGCGGTGGTGGCTCCCTCGCCGGCAGACCTGGCGGCGGAGTCGCGGTCGGGAGCGGTGGCGGAGTCGCTGCGGGAGCGAGACGACTCGCGCGAGTCGCGAGAAGCAAGCGACGCGAATACCCGGCCTCGGTTGAGGATATTTCTTTCTCCCTTGGATCGGCTTGGGTGGAGCGGGTTTTTCTCCAACCCAACGTCACCCAAATGCAATTTTTGTGCATCCACGTGGGTGGAACCCCGGCGTGGGTTGGCTTCCATGGGAGGCCGGGATCCACTACAATCCCCGCCGATCCAAGGCTATCCAAACGAAACCGGAAAGGGGAAGGGGAAGAAGGGGAAAAGGCGGTGTCTGTATTCCAATGAAGTTTGGGCCGACCGTGGTGCAAAGAAGCTGCTGGACTGGACTTGCTTTGTGGGCCTTTCTAGTCTACTAGTAAAAATTTGGGACTCCGCTTTCGCGAACGATGACGTCTTCGAATCGTTGTGGTTGTGGGGCGTGACCTCCTCTTGCGCGATTTGCCAAACAAATCCATCGGAATCAGGATCCGGATATAACCGCCGATTTTAATGGAAGCTAAGCTTCCTAGCGTAACAGCTGATCCCTTCCAAACCGGTCAGCGCAGTAACCAAACATCCGGACGCGCATACCGTCGCCACGCGCGCGCCGCTGGGTTCGCCGCCGCGCGGTCGACGCCGCAGAGGCAGAAGGCACCCCGGGAGCGCAGGGGGGCGCCGCAGACGCAGAAGGCTCGATGTGGTTGGAGGACGTGAGGGGGAGGGAACGCGGGGAGCTGCGCGCCCGGCGGTTCGAGGCCAGCGCCCGGGCGCGCCGCGCGGCCTCGCTCGCGCTCTCCAACCGCAAGGAGTTCGCCACCCCGCACCACGGCGCCGTCAACTCGCTCCAGGTCCCTCTTCTTCTTCCTCTTCTCCCCCTTGCCGCTATTAGATTCTTAACTACTGCAACCACGGCCTCAAACAAAACTGATTTATCTGCTAATCTCATCGAGAAGCACATCAATTTACATTTACCATCGAATCACGGGGTCCTTGTTATGCAATGTGTGAGTCGCGTTTGCTGGTGTTTATAATCTGACCATATGGTCAGGTTGATTTGACAGAGGGGAGGTACCTGCTCTCCGGGGCATCGGATGGGTCGGCCGCTGTGTTCGATGTGTGGAACGCGACGGAATACGAAGCCGGGTTCATAGCGAAGCACAGGAACATACTGCTTGTGGACAAGCAACACCAGAATGGCCACAGGTTCGCCGTCTCGGCGGCCGTTTGGTATCCTGTGGATACTGGGTTGTTTGTCACAGCATCCTTTGACCAGTATGTCAAAGTTTGGGATACCAATTCGACTCAAGTATGTGCCTGCATTCTCAGTTACCCATCTTTCTCTGTTTCCTTCCCCTGTTTCGTGATCCTGGATGTTCTGGTTTTTGTGTGCACTGTTTTGTTTTCTCAGGTCGTCATGGAATTTAAGATGCCTGGAAAAGTGTACACTGCAGCCATGTCTCCAGTCGCAACAACGCACATGCTCATCGCTACTGGGACCGCAGATGTTCAGGTCCGTCTGTGTGACATTGCTTCTGGAGCCTTTACCCACACGTTGTCAGGTCATCGTGGTTAGTTTCTTTGTGCTAATGCAGTGATGAAAATATGCTTGTTTTTCTTGTATGGTACCTTCTTATCTCCGCCCATCATCTTAGATGGTATCATGTCTTTGGAGTGGTCTGCCTCAAGTGAGTGGATTTTGATGAGTGGTGGCTGTGATGGGGCAATACGTTTTTGGGACATTAGACGAGCTGGATGCTTTCGGGTTCTGGATCAATCACGGTCTCAACTTGGAAAGAGGCCTCCTCTTGTTAAAAGTGCTGTAGAGAATGTATGTTCACTCTCTCTGTTATTACCATTTGTTTTTGTATTTGTAATTATTTCTCGAGAGTATTTGGTCAGAGAAAGCTACTCCCTCCATTCCAAATTATAAGTCGTTCTGGCTTTTCTAGATACATAACTTTTATTATGCATCTAGACATAATCTGTATCTAGGTGAATAGCAAAAACTATGTACCTAGAAAAGCCAGAACAACTTATAATTTGGAACAAAGGGAGTACTAAAGAGCTGCTTACCATCATATGGCGACAATTCTAGAGCTATTAACCTTCAAGTAGTTTACAAAACCCTCTGTTATATTGGGTTCGATAGCATTGAAGTTTCAGCATATGTAGATAGCCTTACAGTGCTCTAATATTGCTATATTCTTTATTGCACCTGAGATAAATTGAATATTTGATACTCCCTCCTTCCCAAAAAGAATGTAACTCTCACTTTTCGAGTTGTCAAACAGTTTTAAGTTTGAACAAATCTGTACAAAAATTACTGACATTTTTGGTACCTAATAAGTATCATCAGAATAAACATGGAATATATTTTCATAGTATTACCTATTTGAAGTCATAAATGTAAATACTATTTTCTATAAACATAGTCAAACTTAAGGAAGTTTGGCTCAATACAAACCTAGAACTGCATCCTTTTTGGACCAAGGTAGTAAATCATATACATTTTTGACTAAAGCAGGATCACACAGATTCCTTAGGACCTTCACCTTCCACAAGGAGCTCAGCTCAGAAAAGGGCAGGCATTTCTAAGAAGAGCTCACCGGCTTTGCGCAAAATTCAAAACCTAACACATGGACAGATGCAACAGAGATTGCATCCCGGTTTGTCATCCAGTCAAAACCGTGCTACAGCTCATTATGGTGCTGTTACTGGATTACGAACTACTACAGATGGGATGTACCTTCTTAGCTCAGGTAAGTGAATTTGAGTTATACTATTTTGAACACATTGCTGCTTGTTGCATGCCAGCTATTGACATAGTGTCCTATAAGCTTTACTATGCGATAATATTTTCAGTAGTAAAGCTGTTACTAAGACAGGTATTATCCCTTCTCTGTAGGATCTGATTCTCGTTTAAGACTCTGGGATATCGATTCAGGCTGCAATACTCTGGTCAATTTTGAAGCTATGCGATTGCAGACAGGCAAGCCATTACAATTAGCTGTCACTGAGGATCCTTCACTTGTATTTGTTCCATGTATGGCAAGCATCAAGGTGCGTTCCCGACTTCCTGTTTTCTAGTTTGCCAGTTTGCTGAAGCATTCTTGAGGTTCACATTTCACCGTTGTTATATATGTTTAGGCATATAATTTATGGTCTGGTACAACATTTCGAACATTCCGAGGGCACTATGAACTTGTGAATTGCTGCTACTATAGTGAACAGGACCAAGTAAGTTTGCGTGTTTACTGTCAATGTGTTGAGAGTTTCAATAGGACTCCATTTCTAAGTGTTCAGGAATGCAGGAACTTTATACTGGCGGCAACGACAGGCAAATTCTTGTGTGGTCTCCATCAACTCCAGCTTTTACTGAGATGGTATATCATCTATCCGTTATTTCCCTGCAAGCCCTTTTTGTTTGGTTGCCTGGCTAACTCTATTGTCTAACAGTTGTGAGCAAGAATATGGCATAGGTTTTAGACAAATTCCTTGAATCTTGACACTAGTAAAACTCTTACAGGAAGATGATGACAAGACCCTTTCAGGAGCTGACGAGGATAACTGGAGCGACTAAGAAACATGTTCCTTCTTCCCTGGAACCGGGAGGACTACTTGTATATACTGACATTGATGTTAGTGATAACAAATAACATGTCGAGGTTGTTAGCTCTTGTTAGCAGCCCCTATATGCTGTGTTGACTTGGTATATTTTCGAAAATATTGTACATTACCATGTGAAATTTTGACAGATCATTGAATAATTTGTAGATTTACCTCATGAGGATAGAGGGATGTTGGGGCCTCACTAAAATGTTATTTGGCCCTGGAGCATTGTTTTCTTCACTTCGTAGATGTTTATGTGTATTAATGCTTTACCCAAAAGTAAGAAAATTCCTTTGAGCAAATAGGCAGAAGTGTAGCCTTAGGCTATGTTTGATTCAGCTTCTGAAAAGTGATTTTGCTGCCAAAAAGTAGAAAGTCAATGAAACGGTCTTTTTCAGAAGCAGCTGTTTTCGCGTAGTACAAACTTTCGCAACACTTTAGACCGTGCTTTTGGCTTTCAGCTTTTGTCTTTTCCAAATGCATGGAAATATAGAAGCATTTTACAACTGTTTCAAGGAAGATAAAGAGATGGGTGGGTTTTATATAGTTTAACCAAACAGACTACAACAATTTTTTCACAGCTCATAGCTCACAACAAATTTTTTTAGAGACTCTTAGAATATCAGAAGCTTGTCTAAAATTGCCGAAAAGTTAGCCTTCTATGATTATATTGGTAATAATCTGGCAAAGGGGATTATTTAGGAGTAGGCTCCACGGACAATGGGGATGGAATAGCTGTTGGATGGTTAAGACATCACGTCTTTAGACATAAAGGACACCAGTTTTTTGTACCCCATGTCTACTTTTTTTTTTTTGAAACATTTTAGATAGTTTTGGTAGATGAAAAGGGGATTGTGAGAGCAGACATTCCTTTAGAAGGGTAGAATCCAAATATAGTGTTGAACAAGTAGGCGTAACTGTTGTTGCATAAGACCATAAGTTCAGAAGGCAAAGCTCAGAACAAGTAGCTTGCAAAGTAAAACCGGATCTATTTGAGAATAAACGCTAAGCTCAGAAGATTCAATTTTCCGAAATGAAGCCGAGTGTAGAATAGTGTGTCAGCGCCCATGAATCACATGATCACATCACGAAACTCAGTAGAATAGCGTGTCAGCGTCCATGAACCACGTCAGGAAACCAGACTCTCGAGCAATATGGCATTATTATTTCCTCCCGAATACATCGGGAAATCATGTTCTGTTCACATCCTCACGGGAACAGTTACACAGAAGATGGAACGCCACCAGGCTTATTCCAAAGCTCAGCTTCGCATGCACTGGCACTACCGCAACTATCAGAACCAGACTTTCATACCCAATGTATTCAGAAATCACAACCTAAGGGCTTCAATTCTAAGATGCAAAGGTCTATTGCATCGGCTCTCTTCTATAGTTATGCACAGCTAAGCCAACCACCCTCAGTGACCCGGTCAAAAGTAGCACAAAAGAATAGAGTAGAACCTACCACCATCTGTGTTACAGGCCTCTGTTTCTCTTGCGCTCTTCTTCAGATCCTCTGGCATCGTATGATGCCTGCAGCACCTCCGTAGCACAGCCATCTCTCGCTACCTTTGTTCATGTTCCATCGCACTTGATGCAAAGCAACAGAATTCGGAGGGATGACTTTAAGGTCTTTAGGGGATTCACCACCCTTGCTGTTCCATGTTCCATCATTCTCTTCCTTTGTAGGACTGGCTAAAATTATTGCACCGGCCCCTTGTTCTTCACTGTGTCCATCGTCTTGATCATCGCCAAATTCTGTGTTTACGATGCCTGCTGCTTGTTCTTCACTGTGTCCATCATCTCGATCACCGTCAAGTTCTTGATTTACAGCGCTTGCTCCTTGCTCTTCGCTTCGTCCATCATCTTGATCGTCATGAACTTCTGGATTTACAGCGTCACTGTTTCCTGTGGGGGAGTTGAGCTGACATGTCAGCAGGCCAGTGACATCGCTTGTAGCGAGGGCCTGAACTATATTTTGGCATGGTTTTGAACCCCTTTTGGTCACCACAGGAACATTTGGTAATGGAGATGTTTGCAGCCTGCTGCCAATCTTAATATTTTCTCCCTCCTCTGATAATGATCCAGAGAGGAAATAAGGAACACGGTTACGCCCAGGTTCTTTATCCCAGAATCTCGAATTAAGCTACAGCAAGTTAAATATTTGCTTAGAACACTGCAACTCAGAACGACAAGAAATGTAGTTCATGATATCAACTAGAAAGTTCACCTGGAAGTACACAGCAGTACCATCTGCCCCACAGTAAGCCGCACAACCTGGACATCAGCAAACAAATATTATGAATTTAAGGACCACTACAAACATTTGACACCTTGAGGCAAAGCAGAAGTTACTGCATAATCAGGAAACGATCTAGGACTGATACTAAAAGAAGATAAGTTGCCACTGTTTTGGAAAGCGTCTGGAGGCAGTGTATATTAATAAACTGGTAGGGGTCGATCAGGAAAATCTCAAAGCTGCATCCACCTTTATGTCTGGTAGTGATGTCAGTTAAGATGGATACTTTCTGGTGTGACGGTTTTTCTCATGTAAGCTACTGATCCCAGCTCTTTTTTTTCTGTTTCATACAACACCTTTCAGACTTGTAAAAAATTCTCTCTTCTGCCATAGTGATCCAAGTTGCAGGGTGGATCATCCATTAAATTTTCTAAAAAATCTACAGACCCACTATCATCCATTGAACTATGTATCAACTATCAAATTGCAAACTAATAATTTCATGAGAAACAAAACCAGTAATTACTACTAGCAAAGTTCTGCAGGAAGATCTGCTTAAATTTCTATTAGCAACAGTCCATCTTTGAAATTTAGATCAAACACATGTGATATCGATATTTTAAGTCATTGTTTATTTTACATGGTAATCTCTCCCTCATTGGATTTTAAACTCCAAAGTGACTGCTGCTACATAGGAACTTTGCTACCCGGTAGTCAGTACCATTGGGCAGGATATGGACAGTGGCTATGAGAATGATACTGAAACACACCTGTAGGTTCTGAGGCATGGACACTCCAAATCAAATATTCTGACAACTGATAAGTTACAACACCCTGAGTTTTTGTTCCGGCAAATGGCCTTCCAGTGGCTGGAACATCATTTGCAATCCGAGGCAAGCTTAGAAACTTCAATGTACCATCTTCCAGTGAGATAACGATCCCCCTGAAAACAATCAGTCATAAATATAAGTATATAACATTAGCTTCACAATTCTAGTAATAACGACAGGGGAAAAATCAGTAGCCTGTACATATAAACAGAAATGTGATCAAGATGTGGGTAAACAACTTTTAGGGGGTGTTTGGCATGGCTCTGGAGCTGAACTCCAGCAACTCCAGCCAATTTTCCAGCCAAACACCCCAACTCCAAAACTCCATGGAGCTGCCAACTCCATGGAGCTGTAGTGCAAATGGAGGTGGAGTTTTGGAGCACCTCTTTTGCAGCTCCGACTCCACCTAGAGCTGGCTCCATCTAGAGCTCCGACTCCATCTAGAACTGACTCCACCTGGAGTTCTGGAGTGGAGCAGCTCCACCCAGAGTTGGAGCCATGCCAAACAGGGCCTTAATATGCCATTCTTTAATGTTGCTTCTGAATTCTGACCAAATGACATACCTCATATGGACTCCCTATGTCTAATAAAGTGTTTCTCCAGATAAAAAGTGCTTGCTGGCCAAATCAAATCCACAGCGAATAAGATAAACCAACAAGAGTAGGCTAAGTACCTCCTATTTTTTTTCAAGCAAACTATAATATCGATACCTAAGTAAGAAATCAAAAGAGGATTTGTTCCATTCACATGCTCTCTATCCTACGGCATTGAATACAAAGATGCCCTACTACATCAAACAATAAAACATGCTAACTAGGTTATCAAATGCTTGCATGAGATAGAAGATCCACGTAGGAATAAAATTTAGGTGATGATTCACCTAGATTCCAGAATACACGCGAAGGGAAAAAAATACAGACAATGAACTTTATGTTATCACATTATATTTTGTCTATGGACAACAATTAGTGATCTTGTGGGCTGTGAGTTAGGTCAACAACCTTGGAAGAATTTTAAGTTCATGTCCAACAAAGGGGGCAAGTATTGGATGATACGTAATATAAGGTGCACGGGCATGCAAAAGGATGTTTAAAAACATGTAAACAATGCAAACTCAAAAGGTTATAATACGTTGAGAAGCGTCAAGAAAAACTAGTTATCTAGACCGAGAGGATGCTTTAGCAAGCTAACAGGAACAGCATGACCCATATATTGCAAACATCATGACACAAATAAATCCATTTTGCAATCTATTTCAACTGCATTTTAGTTTTCAACAATGACCTGCATTTAGCTAAGCAGAAAAACAACCTAAATGCGATTAGTGCCTACAGAGAACAAGGACAAATAAAACTGTCTATACAAGCAAAGCAAATTTTGTACCAAATTGTTTTATTTACTGATGTAATCTGTATTGGAACTAAGTATTACCTTCCATCCTTTAGCCAATGAAGACTTAATACAGCCTTTGGAGCAGTAGTTAGCTCCCAAAGAGGATGGTATGGATCTCTGCAGAAGTGATTCATGTCATGAAAAATTAGTAATCAAATATCACAGTTCAGTGAAATAAGAAAGGACATTCACAAATGCATGCTCACACAAATGTCATAGAGCAAGAGAGAGAGATCAAAACTGCAACGAATGTACTGAACCAAACACTTAAATTATTGTGAAAAGATGATGAAAAAACTAGATGGGTGGCAAGGAAGTGCCTTAACCATCGGGGGTAGACCAATTTTGCTCAACTCCAGTTTGAGAAGTTTCCCAACTTATCCTATTTCCATGCATTTATTACTTCCTAAAATACTACAACCGTCATTTAAAGAATGGATAAAACAAGAAAAAGATTTCTCTTGCAAGGGGGAAAAATGGTTTAGACATCACTTGTTAAAGGGGCCAAGATAATCAGACCTAAAAAGAAAAGTGGTCTGGGTGTGCATGATCTGAGGAGAATGAATATCAGCTTGTTGTGTAAATGGTGGTGGAAGTCAGAAACTAAAGGTGGAATTTGGCAAGAAATTGTCAAACAGAAATATATAAAAACAAATTGTTTGTCACATTTGAAATATAGCCCCCATAATTTCCCCTTGTGGAATGATCTGCTGAAAGTGAATGCTTGTTTACTTAAAAGGTAGAAAGGTGTTAGGAAATGGAAAATCCACTGATTTCTGGTCAGGCAGGTCAGATGTGTGGTGTGGAAATGTTTCCCTGAAGGACAAGTTCCCAAGAATTTGTAACGATCAAAATTGTTCAGTACATCAAGTATATGGAAAGAACTAGCATCTATCGTTTAGAAGATGGTTTAATGAAAGAGCTCCAAACCCAACTTAGAAAATTACATGAAATCTTGTTCAGATGTGCTTTCAATAATGAAAGATCAAGCCAAGTGGACTTGGGGACACGCAGCCAAGGTTCAGCTGGTCAAGGGTATTCTCGGCCATGGACCAAAAGCGGGGACACGCGGCGGAGACGCAGATAGGGTATTCTCAGTCAGGGAGAAAGAAAACACTGCTGTTGTATCTGTGTTATCTGGTCAGGCTAATGGCAAAGACATCGAGAAAGAATTCAGGAGCATTTTGGGGTCTGAAACCTGGAGATGGATAGCTAGGCCAATGGCTGAGAACAAATTTCTTATGAGATTCCCAAGTGCAAAAATGATCAAGGAGTGGAGTCATTTCAGTTCTCTACCTATGAAATATGTCAATGCACAAATGAAGGTGGATTTCTACAATGCTAGCTTTGGGGCAAAAGGTGAACTCCAGCAAGCTTGGTTCAGGATTTGGAAGATTCCTACAGACCAAAGGTCCATAAGGACAGTTGCTAAAGTTGGTGGCTTCGTGGGGAAAGTGCTTGAAATTGATGAGAAGACTCGATTCAGGCATGATCAAGTGAGAGTGAGGATAGCTTGTAGGGACATTACTAAAGTTCCTAGATCTGCAGAAAGTACTTTGGGCATTTATCTTCATGACTTTATATATGAGAGAAGTTGAGGTTGAGGGTACTGATCAGAACCTCAATACTGGCATCAAGATATCTGACAGGGAGCAACTTCCATCTGCTAAAAAGTTTAAAGCTGATGACAAGAATGGCAAGGGCAGTCAAGCCAATCCAAGTGACAAAGCAAGTGGCAAAATGGCTATACAAGGGTCTGGTATTGATGGTGGCAAAAGACAGGCTCCAAATCTCACCATGTCTGCACCATCCAAGCTGGGAGGGAAAAATCTTTCTGTCAGTAAGCAGGTCACCCAGGCTCATCATGAAGAGGAAGATAAAGGTGGAAAAGTTCACATTCCTGAGACCTTTGAAGAATCTGACTCTGACAGTGATACTTTCAGCAACAGGATCAGGCAACTTGAAGGCAGCTCTAAACAAGGGGGTAATGGAGACTCACATCAAATCTGGAATATGGAAGAACATCTTATTGATACTCAGATGACTCCACAGCTGGGGAGCAAGAAAGGGACTCCCACTGATGCAGTCTGTATCCACCTGAATGAGGTTCAAGATGGGGGAAATGAGCATGTTGAGGATCTCGTCAACCAATCTGAAACAGTTATCACTGAAGAAGGAATTCTGAATTCTCAGGAAAGTATCATATCTGAGAAAGAAAAGGAAGGTCACGAGGCACTGATCACTACTCAGGACTCTGTCAAGACTGGAGGAGAGAAAAGATCCATTCCTATCAAACCTCCTGAGATCAGGAGGAGTGATAGGCTCAAGCAGAACATCACCATTACAACCAAGGAAAAGAATGAAATTATGCCAAGGAAAAGAAACTTAGAAGGTAACTCTAATGCCTCTCATGTTCTCTGATCCTTCTAATGCAAATATTCAGAGTTTATCTGTTGATATGGGGGTAGTTGTGGATCATATCTCATTTGGCACTTTTGATATGCTTAGATTTGGAAATTGCTAGGAATAAATTACATGCTAAAACACATGAAACTCCTAATACTATTCAAAATGAGGAATTAGATGATGAAGGAGATGTCAAGGAGAGACTTATTGAATGGTTGCAAGATGATCTTTCTGAGACAGAAAGTGAGATTCTTGCACAATCCAAGAAAAAAGGAAAACTGTCTAAAAGAAAGCTAAAAATTTCACCAAGAACTAAGAAATCTAATCAAGGCCAGGAAGCTCCTGGCCTAAAAAAAAATGGGGATTGTGCAGGTAAAAATGGCCTCCAATCCCCAAAGCAAAAGGTGAAAAAATGACAGTACAAGGACTTATTTGGAATTGTAGGGGCCTAAAGAAAAAAGGGGTCGCTACATTTCTGAAAGATCTCATTTTTCAGTATCAATTTCACAATTTGACTTTATTGGTCTTCAAGAGACCATGGTACAGGAGTGTGAACCTTCACTTCTTAGGAAATTTGATGTCCACCAGGACTACCTTTGGGAATGGACTCCATCTAAGGGTAGGTCGGGGGGGATTCTTGTTGGGATTAAACTTCAGCAAATTTGATGTGGGATCTTTCAAGAAGGGTGATTTTATGATTCAGATGAACCTGTGGGATAAGGAAAATAGAGTTAAATGGAATTTATTGGTAGTGTATGGTGCTGCCCAAGATGAAAATAAGTTTGAGTTTCTCTCTGAGTTATCTAGATTCTGTGATGCTAATTCTGACCCCATTCTGATTGGGGGGGATTTCAATTTAATCAGATTTGCAAAAGAGAAAAGTTCCAATAGGGGTGTGCATAAGCATTCTGGCATCTTTAATTCAATAATCCATTTTTTTGAGTTGAGAGAGTTAATTATGAATGGTGGCTTGTATACTTGGTCCAATAATCAGGACCCTCCTGTGTTGGAGAAATTGGATAGGAACTTGGTATCTAAGAGTTGGGAGGACTTATTTCCCCATGCTTTGGTAAGGAAGCTTCCTAGGGAAGTTTCAGATCACAATCCGTTGATTGTAACTAGTGGAGCCCCTAAAAAATTGCCACACTTACAATTCAAGTTTGATCTTAATTGGTTTGATAATCCAGACTTCTTTGTGCAAGTTGAAAGAATCTGGAATAAGCCCTGTAGAGCCAAGTCTGCCCTGGATAAGATCCAGCAGAAATTAAAACTGTTCAAACAATTCTTCAAAGGCTGGGGGTTCAATTTGCAAGGTGAACTTAGGAAGAAAAGAAAGGAATTACAAATTGAACTATCATCTCTGGAGGAGATAGAGGAAATCTCATGTCTAACTGAGGCACAAGTATTGAGGAAGCACTGGGTGTTGTGTGAAAAATTTAAATTACTTGAACAAGAAGAGTTATATTGGCTTCAGAGGAGTCATGAGACATGGCTTCTCAAGGGAGACCAAAACACTGAGTATTTTCACAAATGTGCAAATGGTAGAAAAAGGAAAAACATTATCATTTCTCTTGAAAAAGATGGAGTGATCATTGAGGGTGATGATAATCTACTTAAACATGCCTCTGAGTATTATGCAGAACTTTTTGGCCCTGTGCCACAACATGATATTCATCTGGATGCATCCATTTGGAATAATTGTTACAAGTTATCTGAGACAGATAAAAGAGCACTCTGCCTTCCTTTTTCTGAGACAGAAATTAAGGAGGCATTATTCCAAATGGAAAAAAATAAGGCCACAGGACCTGACAAAATCCCATTTGAGTTCTTTCAAAAATGCTGGAATATTGTAAAAAATGATGTTCTCCAGTTATTTGATGATTTTCACAATAATAATGTTGACATAAGCAGATTGAACTATGGGATTATAACCTTGATACCTAAAGTGAAAGAAGCAAATAGAATTCAGCAATATCGACCAATCTGTCTATTGAATAGTTTGTATAAGCTGATCACTAAGGTGTTAACCATAAGGGTCTTTATGCTCATAAACTCATTAATAGAGCCCAAACTGCCTTTCTCAAAGGTAGAAATATTCTCTCAGGTGTCATGTGTTTTCATGAAATTATTCACAAGACTAAAAGAAAGAAAGAAGTGGGGGTTATTCTCAAACTGGATTTTGAAAAAGCCTACGACAAAGTGAACTGGAATTTTTTATTTGAATATATGGAAATGAGGGGATTTGATAGGAAATGGAGAGATTGGATCAGCCAAGTAGTTTCTGGTGGAACCATTAGCATTAAATTGAATGATATGATTGGTTCTTACAATAAGAGCTATAAAGGGGTCAGGCAGGGGGACCCCTTGTCCCCTATCCTCTTCAATTTTGCTGCTGATAGTTTAACAAGAATGGTTGAGAATGCTCAGGAACGAGGGCTTTTTACTGGGCTAATAGATCATATCATTCCTAATGGTGTGGCCATTCTGCAATATGCAGATGACACAATCATCTTTCTCAAACATGACTTGGAAGGGGCAAGGAATATGAAATTGTTACTCTATATGTATGAAATGATGGCTGGGCTAAAAATTAATTTCAATAAGAGTGAAGTTGTTATGATTAATGATACTGAGAACTGGGGGTCCTTGTATGCTGATTTATTCAATTGCCAGATTGATCTCTTTCCAATTAAGTACTTGGGGGTTCCAGT